ATTTTAGAGAAATCTCAAGTATTGTAACAACATTGTTACTAGGTGGTTTTGAAATAGTTACATAACTGTTATGATAGTTTTACGATTTATTTCTATACCTTATAGTTACTACTTTATTTCAATATTATATCTTAATTGTGTAAATATTGTATAAAAATTGTATATAAATCATAACTATCTTATTATATAACATCGTAACAAATTTATTTCAAAATTATAATAATATTAATTCGAAATTGTTTTAATATAATTATCAGTTTGTTATAACTTCTTAACAATTTAAGTATCAAAATTGTTACAAAATTACTTTAATATCTTTGCGATATAGTATCTTTGTTGTAAAAATGTTGTATTTATATCATTATGATAATGTTTAAAAAGTTTTAACAATTTTGATAAAATGTCATAAAGATATTATTTTAATATTATAAAGACTTAGCCACAAAATTAAATCGATCTCTTAACAATTTACTTTTTTTTATATTTTTTTATATGTAATAACATAATTACGAATGAATATTAGACCTGTATGAAATCTTACGTATCTTGAAACATGTAATATATATATATGCATATGAATCTGATACTTTTAGTGTCATATGTAATCAATTCTATAAATAAAAGTTTTATATATAACAAGCTATAAAGGTAAATCTTATAGCATTTCAGCGTAATAAGTGTTAACTCTCTAGTTCATTATAAAGAATATTGATATAGTTTCAAAAAAAATTAAATTCAAAGTACTTTTATAATTTAGAAATTTTAAATTAAAAAAAGCTTTGTGAAAATATTCACTTGTATATGGCAGAATTTATGCACACATATGATATGTAAAAAATAAATAGTTTCTTTAAATTACATCAACTTTCTTTATAATGAACTAAAGAGTTAATACTTACACACTGAACTGATATAAGATTTAACGCTTTATAGCTTGTTATGTATAAAACTTTTATTTCATAGAATTGATTATATTTACATACATATGTGTTCTATTCTATGTATATACTGCAATATTAGGTTATTATTTGAATCATGTATGAGACTTTAATTAGATCCTTAGAATTCAGATCAGCTAACCGTATTAGAATAATTTTGGTCAAAGATTCTTGAATAAAATTATGCATGTAATTATATCGTCTAGCAGTTGTTACTATTATATCAATATAGTTTACCTTTAAGCAGTTTTTATATATAGAATTTTTTGATAGTATTAATTACACAATTTTTAAAACAGCATAAGATATATAATGGCAACAACATTGTCATATGATAATGTTCTCGTCTAATTGGTTAACTTTTCCCTCTAGAATAAATTTTAGTAGATTTATATTAAGACTGTAAACACCTACAAGTCATTTAATCTATATCACATAGATGACAATTCATTAATAGTATATAACCTGCAACTAATAAAATACTAAATCTTACCCCCTATGTGATGTAGATTAAATAGTTGCATGCGAAATATCTGGATTGACATCCTATGAACAAATAAATCTAATACATTACCGTAAAAGTTATATACGTACAAGATCCCTACCCACCATGAATTATGAAGATCCGTGCGAATCACAGAAACTTTAATAACTAAATGCGGGTTTTTTCATATAGTTAGAAGCCTTTTACAAAGTGTATATATACTTTAAATTTTTTTCTTTACATAATATAACATCTGGGTAGGTACTATATCTCGGGTCCACTAAAGGTTTAAAATTTGGTGGAATTAAATAGACCTGGGTCGTGTATATGTACTTTTACTGTAATTAGAGCATCAATCAGAAGATATATATGAAGAAAACAATTGAGTAATATTAGGATCAATTATGACCAGAGTAGATATTGCTCTATATGGCTACCTGAATTATAAATAAAAATACTTGAATAATCCATGCAGAGATTACTTAGTGGGTTTAATCTCTAGAACCGACTTTAGATTTGACCCAAGCAGGACATGTATATAAGATCTTGATAAGAGTAATTACATATTTATAAGTGTTGTTGTTGTTTTATGATGTCAAAGATAAGTGTAAACAAATGATGTCAAAAATTTGATAAAAAGTAGAAAAATGTCCAATATGTCAATAAGAAATTAGTCAAAATGAAATATATTAATAAATCACTTCAGAATTTGATATGCTAATAAAATCCTGATTTTTATCTAAACTTGGCTTTTCTAATATTTTGTGCATTGCAAATTAAGTGTTGTTAAAAAGACAGTATTAGTAAAGCATTCAGTATAAACTTTAATAATAGCCTATTATATTATTCTTACCTCATATATCTATATATATTTATTAGACGAATCTTTTATTCAAGTACTATTTTCATTATTCTTTTACTTGTAGTTCGATTATATTGACCTAATTTTCAGTACCATTGAAGCTAAACATGATGTATTTTTAAAAAACTTTCAATATTGATATCTTTAGACCTTTTTTTAATAATTATATATATTAGAAAAAGAATTAAGCCTAAAGAAACCTTCTTCCAACTCTTATATTGTATAACTTGATTTTATTTAATTTCTTATACTTAAATAAACTTCATGATAGAGTCGCATATTTCCATCATAGCAGATACGTAGGTACTCATTATTTTGTGAATTTAATAATGATATTAAATTTAATAAATAAATTTACTTTAAAATATAATGCTTTAAAATCATCTACAGAATGATAAAGAATTAAAGACTGCTAAATACATCATTTGAGTCAAATATAAAGTATTATAATTGCATATTGCTGGTGAAATTTTTGCCATTTCGTGATGGAATGGCAATATTTTTTAGTCAGCCTATCTAATGCTCTTGTCCCCTCAACATCTCTTGTTGTATAATTAATAGCAAACACACTTTGAATAAATGTACATAAATAAAAAATTGAATTCTGATCACGTAATTCATCCTCATTTGTTGCGTTCAACTACCGATTTAATATATTAACAGTTGCAGATTCGTCCGCGAATGCAATAATTTTTTCTTTTTGTAACAGGCTTGTTGTAGAACTGTAGTTAAAATAAAAATATATCAATTTAGTTTAAGTAAAAAGCTAAGAAATTTGATACTGTATACAAACCAAATTCTCTTTTTTTTGAAATCTTTAACTAACTCTTCAATATTATTAATTAATTTGTTACAGAAGTCACCAAAGTGCCTTTTAGCTACTTGAAGCCATTCAATACCTTCGGCTAAATTAAGATCACATTTGATAAACTGTCACACTAATTCTTTAAATGCTTTTTTTGGTAGATTTCAAATATGAAAAAAAGACATTTCAACTTCTCTAAATAGTCTTGGCTGGCTTTTGTCTACATTAACACATGAATTATTAGTAATTATAAAGATGTTATAAAAATAATAATAAGCAAATCACCTTTTTTTCATATTGATCTTGTGCTATAGACGATAATGCCAAAGAGGTGGAAGGAGTAAGTTGTAAACTATCTGTGGCTGGTATTTTCATCGATAAGTTCATACTATTCGCAAGCTGTAGAATGTTTGGATTTGCACATAACCATAAACAAATCTGATAAATTGGCATTTCATTGAATATTGATGGAGTAACAATGTTATGAGTTGAGGTGATTAAATGTATTGTTGAAATAATACAGTTCTAAAGCAGATGACTTTTTTAGAGATGTGATCATTGGATTAATAGAATTTTGATAGAAAGAAGTGAAATCATTTTGAGTATTAATTCTTGACTCTAAAGCTGGTGATGAATGTCTTGAGGATGCAAATCTCGATTCTAAAGCTGGTGATAAATATTGTGTGGGAGCAAATCTTGATTCTAAAGCTGGTAAAGAATGTCATGAGGGTGCAATTCTTGATTCTAAAGCTGGTGATAGTTGACTCGAAAGTGGTATTACTTGAGACAAAATCCTTGACCTTAAAGTAGGTGATTCATTTCTCAATCTTAGATCTGGTGATAGTTGTCGTAAAGGTATAATGATTGAAGATTGAGACGATTCACTAATACTATCAACCTCATATTTGTCTAAAAAAGGAATCACTAAATTATAACTAACACAGAAAAATTATATCAATATATGTATTAATATTGAAAGTAATTGTTATCATGTAAATTGTCATCATCATTCAAAAGTTCATTGACTATCTATGAAGATGATGCTACTGCCTTTTTTTGTTTCATTTTATTACTTTGTTTACCTTCTTTATTTAAAGGAGAATTATAAAAATTATGTCTAATTATAAAAGTCCAATAAAAATAATATTTGCCTTGCAGATTATTAGCATCATTTAAAAGGTCATCAATTATTTGTGAAAAAGTTGCAATTGTGTCTTGCTTCTTTTTGCAACCTCATTTATTGGTAGCATTCAGTTTATCTTATGAATTATCAACACTCGAATGATCGATCTCCTTTCTTTTACGGCCTCGTTTAGCAGATTGAGCAGGTTTAGAAGTAGTTTGTATCTTATTGTTTGCAACTGTTTTTGAATTTCTGGTTTTCATGTTTAAGTGATAAAGAGTAAAAAAAAAAAAAAGTTTTTATAATAAATTTGTTTTAGAAGTTTATTATGTAAGATCATAATTTAATAATTAGGTCATAATTAGATGATATGAGATAATTTATAAGAACTGAATTTTAGCTTAAAATCTATTTACTTTACTTTTTTTTCTAAAAAAAAGAATAATTACCATTACTTGTATGTATATTTTATTTTCATGACTTTTGATGTTGTATTCTCATATATTCGAACAATGTTTTTTATAACATGCAATTCTTGCAACCTCATTACACTTCAGAAATTGAGATCTTTAAGTAGATAACATAACCATTGAGTTTTAAGATTGATAGTAAACCAGGTCAATGCATCTTCATTAAAGAACTTTGCGATTCTTGTAAAGTAAGTATTAAATTTAGAGTAGAATGGTAATATAAATCATAATGACTCTTTAATAGATAACGAATGTTTCTTCTAATGATTTTAAGTGATGATTCATAAAAATTTGATATTATCCAAGCAAGATGAGTTTGACATGGTTTTCAATAACAATGATAATTATATGTAGATATCATTAGAAAAAATTAAGGATCTGTTACAAATTGAATTCTTAGCAATTATCTCGATACGTTACTGGTAAATTTTTTTGGAGTAATTATCATGTTACAAAAAAGATATAATTTAATTAAAAATAGAATTGATATCTTTGCTTTATTTTAATTTGAAGCTCTTATATAAGCTTTCTAATTTTCTAGAGCATATTGTTATCAAATTCATTTTTTAAAAAGTCATGTCAATGAAGTTGTTATATGATTTGCATACAAGTCCGTGAAATCATACGTCGAATAGTATATTCATCACTCTTTTAATAAGCATTAGGTAAGGTTTTCTTTGCTTTTGTCATTTTAATAATTGAGTTTGATATTAAATTCAGATAAAATGTGTTTAAACCTTCACTATTTATATACAAGTCTGGATGGCTTTATGATATGTGACTTTGATCGCACTTTATCTAATTTTAGATTAATTAATACTTCGATTTTGTACATTATTATTTGTTATACATTTGATTACTTAATTTTAACTTCTCAAGGGATGATATTATGTCCTTTTTTTTTAAAAAAAAAGAAAAAAACCTTTGCCTATTAACAAGGTGAACTTGTATAGAATGAGATTATTGGCCAATTAACACAATCTCAAAGGTAAAAAAACAACCAATCTATATTAAAATTACAATTTGAATTGAAATATTCCTCGTCTCTTATAATAGTGATTTTTGATCATGCGATTCACTTATTAAAACCTGCAATATCATTGAAGAATAATGATATGTATTTGTGATTTTACTTTTGGATTAGTTACTCTTTCTTATCTAGAATATGATCAATTTTATACTTGCCACATATACAGAAGATTGATCATGTAATATAGCATAGTAAATCCAAACATACTAATCAAAATGCCCTTTTTTTTGATACTTGATGACTAAATTTTAAACTCATTACTAACAATATATGACTATATTTCAATTAATAAATTATTAGTTGACTATAATACAAGCCACTCTCGGTATAGTAACTTTCGTTATAGTATAGTGAAGATAAATCCCAAACCAGTCTATATAAAAATCCTTTCGATATAATGAATTTACTAATAACCTTCCGATATAATGAACTTTTTAAAAATGAACAGGATACTTTACTATAACGAGAGTGACTTGTATACTAATTTATACTCAATACAATGTATTATTAATTGATGCGATAATAACCTGATTAGTAAGCTTGCTAGTAAATTATTAAACCTATTTACATTTTAACAATTATATTTTTATATATAACCTTTCAACTTACAACTTTTATCTTATTATTCTTATTACAATATTTTATAGTTGTTATATCCTTTTTAATCCTCACCAAAATTATTTAAGGTGCCACATCGTATGCTAAACACACCTTCACGTGAGATATCAAATGAAAGAAGTGCCAGAACAAATGTTTCCAGTAATTACTATATTGAAATAGATTCTGATGATAATATGTTAAGCCAAGAAGATTTCGATAATGATGTTTCAGATAATGAAGATTCTGGTGATATATCGAGTGAAGACGATTTGTTAAACGAGGATGATATATTTACCAGAGACGATATATTAACTGAAAGTAGTGTGTTGAGCGAAGATGATATGTTACCTGATGATAATGTGTTTAACACAGACAGTTTAATGAGTGAACATAATGTACTGAGGGAAGTTGTTGATGAATCTTTATATAGTGAAAAAATGTTATCAATTAATGGAAAATTCGCGCTATACTTCAGCAATATTACAGAAGCGCTGTTGTTTTTTTGGATTCAGAAGCATAGTATATGTAGGTTAAAATGTTTATCATTCATAAATTTTAATATATTTGTTAATTTTGGTATTTATTTTAGCTACTCAAGCATATAATGATCTAGTAAATATAATTTATAATCCTCAATTTAATAGCAAAGATGTCGTAAAGAACATTAGGTGTTTTAGAAAGTATAGGCAAAGACTACCTTTACTTCAAATAAAATCATATCAAATTCATATTTCTGACAAGAAAATGCCATCTACATCAAGAGATACTAAAGAGGCATATTGCTTGTCAATTTCTGATATTATTTGGCACATTCTTAACAATCCTTCACTATTTGACAAAATGTACTTCAGCCTAGGCCAAGAAGTTACAAAAAAAATATGAGCTATGGTATAGAAATATTTGGAAGGAATCACCGAGATTTGGACAAGGGTCTGTTATTATAGGCAAAGGTATTTTTTTTGATTTAATTGTTTTTAATTTTATATTTTATTTTACTTTTTTTAATTTAATTTTTTATTGTTTAAATTATTATTGTATTTTTATTGTATTACAAATATTTTTATGACTTGTAGTAAAATATTACTCAGGTGACTTCGTAGTTTATAAAGAATTTACAAAAAAGAGGATCGGCTGTATTTTATCAATAGTTCAAAAAGACAGCTGCCTTAAGATTAATATTCAGCGTATTCTAACTTTTGAAGAGTTACCAAGAAATTTGCAGAGTAATAGTTGTAAAGAAAGATCAATAAGAGGTGAAATATGAATGTTAGATCGAAGTGTGGATAACACAATTAAAACTGTAGAACTGCAAACAATTATTAAGCGTATTATAATCACAATTTTATACGATAATGGTGTAGATAAAGTTTCTTCAATCACAATTCGTGAAATATTATATAAATATAACAATAAATGGAAAATAAGAAATGTTATTTATTCTTACAAACATCCTTCAGAATTTGCTATTTTAAAAGAGCCTACTTCAAGTCTTCCAGTTTATAAATTATATATAGATATTTATTACGATGATTTTGGTACCTTTCGCAATGTTTATCATTTATTAGGTGGTGTTTATATTCAAATAGAAAATATGCAATTTGATCAAAAAAAACAATTACTGAAATAAAGCATTTAGAAGAAGGAAAAATAATGAACGTACAAGGTACTAAAAGCCTTG